GACAAGCATGATCACAAACATGATCACAAAGACAAGCATGATCACAAACATGATCACAAAGACAAGCATGATCACAAACATGATCACAAAGACAAGCATGATCACCAACATGATCACAAAGACAAGCATGATCACCAACATGATCACCATGATCACAAAGACCAGCATGATCACCAACATGAACATGAACACCACAATAATTACTACAAACAAAAGCACCTCCATGATCACCAACATCAGTACAAACACAAACATGACCACAATGACTATTATGACCATCATGACCAACATGAACATTCAAAATACCTTGATCATTATAGTGACAATAGCCACGACCATCACAAACATAATAAACATCATGACCATGATCACCAACACAACCACCAACACGACCACTATGATCACCAACACTTGGATAAACACCATCATAACCACCACAAACATGGCTACCATGAACACAAACACAAGTATGATCACAACAACCAGAAAGACCAACAACATGCACAGCATAAGCACCATGACTATCACAATAACACAGATGACCACTATAATGATCACCACAATGAAGATGGACATCATGACCACCGCAATCAGCAACATTATTATCATCACAAAAAGCACAAAAATCAAAATGGGCATCACAACCACCATGATCACAAAAATGATCACCAGGAGCACTACAATGATCACAATGACCACCATGATCACAAAGACAAGCATGATCACCAATATGACTACTATGATAACAAAGACAAGCATGACAACCAAAATGACCACAATGATCACAAAGACCACAATGATCATAAACACGATCGTCATGAACACAAAGACAAGCATAATCACCAACATGACCACCGTAAAAAAGACCAGCATTATCACCAACATGACCAAAATGATGACAAAGACCACCATGATGACCAACACGACCACCATAAAAAACACCAGCATGATCACCAACATGACCACCATGATCACAAAGACCAGCATCATGAAAAAGACCAGCATGATCACAACCATGACCACCACGAACACAAAGACAAGCATGATCACATACATGACCACCATTATCACAAAGACAAGCATGATCACCAACATGACCACCATAATCACAATGACAAGCATGATCACATACATGACCATCATTATCACAAAGACAAGCATGATCACCAACATCACCAACATTATCACAAAGACAAGCATGATCACCAACATGACCACCATGATCACAAAGACAAGCATGATCACCAACATCACCAACATTATCACAAAAACAAGCATGATCACCAACATGACCACCATGATCACAATGACAAGCATGACCACCAACATGACCACAATGTTGACAAAGACCACTATGATAACCAACACGACCACCATAAAAAACATCAGCATGATCACCAACATGACCACCATGATCACAAAGACCAGCATCATGACAAAGACCAGCATGATCACAAACATGACCACCACGAACACAAAGACAAGCATGATCACATACATGACCACCATTATCACAAAGACAAGCATGATCACCAACATGACCACCACGAACACAAAGACAAGCATGATCACATACATGACCACCATTATCACAAAGACAAGCATGATCACCAACATGACCACCATTATCACAAAGACAAGCATGATCACCAACATGACC